AAGAGGAAACTGCGCCGAAATCATTCGATAGTACCAGGCCACCGTGAACTCGCTGTTATCTGTGCCTGCAAAGAAAATGGAAAGAAAATTGAGTGATGAAATAACTGATAACATGTCTATATCAGGAAATAAGCTGGAAAATAACTCTGCAATGTCCTCTCGGTCGTCCGCTTTCGTGGAGCGCCGCGCTATATTTCTTTACAAAGTGCAATTTCGTGTTCTACTTTTTGCCAGCGAAATGGAACCATTATATACACTCTTACGGTTTCTAAAAATTAAAAAAAAAGCAACAGTAACACAAAATTGCGAAGTAACTCGGGAAACGTAAGATACGATATGTAAAATAAATAATGTGAAATGAGAGATGTGAAAATGTGAAACATGAAATAGAAAATGACATATGTGCACTGACAAATGCGAAATACGAAATGAAAAAATGCCATGGAAACTCTTACCCGTGCTTCATTGATTTGAACGTCTGTAGATAATTTATACTACTGGACAACCTGAAAAATAAAATTATAAATAAAATTCACCTGCAAGTAAAAGCTAACGATATAATGTTCCTTGCCATTATCAAGGAATGAATAAATGAGAGCGAGTTCAAAAGAGGTACGATTTAAATAAATAAAATTCAAGTAAATTAACAAATAGTTTTCAGTTACCTTCCAAAGGCGTTGAACAGACTAACGATTTCTGTTCTTTTCAGGTGAAACTGACTGCTTTTGTTGAATTTGCCGTCGTCCAGTTCGTGACCTGAGAATAGAATTTTTAAGGCGGTACCAAGGCCCTGAACCTGTTTAAAAGAACAAGAAATAAAGACAAATGAGAGAGACGTCAATTCAGTTGTCACGAGCGTGGAATCAAGAAAACATCTGACTTCCCCGGGAATGGAACGCACGAACTACCAGATACCCGATGCAAAATTGATACAATCACCCCCCACTCCCCGCCCCCGGCATTACCCCGAGTCTTACCGCGGCTGGAAGGGCCGAGAAGGGACTGAATGAGAGTAAAGTGGTTGATGGGGGGGGGGGGGGGGGGGGGGTTAGCACAAAACAGAACCTGATGGTGGTAGGCTTCCATAGGCATAAACCTATGCTCCACGGGGAGTGGAAAATTCAAGTATTTGACACTGTAATAGGAAAGTAACTGAGAGAAGAGAGCCTACCTGAACCTTGCCCCACAATCGACACTTGTCACAGCCAACACAGTCCATGATACGAGAAATATTCCTAAAGTGAAGCTTGAACTCTTCCTAGACAAAAATACAAAAAAAGAAAAAAATCATTGTGAGGATTGATAATGTACACTTTTCAATACTACTTCTTAATTAAATTGTCGTAATGGCTGACGCAAAAGACGCACCAATGCACAATTTCGCAGTTGTGTTCTCGAATTAATTCGCTCTTCCATGCTACCTATCACTCCTTATTGAGGTCATGAAACGTGCTAAAAAAGGAAGGGAAAGGTCTTGGACAGGGAAAAAATCGAATCCAGGACCTAAAGAAGAAGACAAGAGCGGAATTTCTCGAAGGCAAGAAGAAAACTTTGACCGACAGCGGCAAGGGATCGTGGATACTCGTACCCGTACTTTTACCCCGCTTATTTCTCTTGGTTTTCCCCATTGCTCATGAGCGGCGAAGACTGCTCTATAAACGCACGTTGAAGTTCAACAAGGACAACGTGACTGTTACACTATTATTGCCTTGGAATTCCCGCGAAAATTATCTCGTTCGCTGTGAACTTTATAGGGGTGCCATGATTTCATCGGCTGGCGGTATATTCTGTTGACATGCATCCGAGTAAAGGCGTGACATGTTTACAACTCTTCAAACGGCGATAACTCGCAATAGTTTTTCGCGAGAATACCATCTCTTTAAATGAATTAACAGGGTATGTAGGATTCGCAGATGTCCATGACATTTGGCCAGAACATTCCTCAAGCATCGAAGAACAAAAGTGTGTCAGAGATTTTCTTATCATGGATATTTCTCTTGTGACGGCCGCGAACGCAACAGAGTCGGCAACAAGTTCGGCAATCATCGCATCTACAATCAAAAGTCTCTAAAATACTGGATTAAATGACACGAAACATAAAACAAACCCCGGAGTACGAGGGTTTGCATCCAAAAAAAAAAAAACAAAAATATCTTAATTGACCACTCCCCAAATGGGGCTTTTCAGGGCCAATGAGACCAAATGATGAAACAAATAATACAAATGAACATAATATGGTTAAAAATCCCAACTGGCGGGAGGCAGACCAGTTGGCTATTTACAAGCATGACCGAGCAGTTGAACTAGGGTCTACCGAGAAACAACTCCAGCTAAGTGGTCAGACCGGGACTTGAACCCGCGACCTCCGGATTTCAAGTCCGGCGCCCTGACCACTCGGCCACCCTACCTCCGCATTGCCACTTCTAAAGAAATGTTATTCTTCAACAACTGAAACTAAGTAAGGAGTTATTTTCGGAAGAATTTTTGTGTCTGACATTTTCGGATGGGATTCTTTTTATTCCGAGCTGATTATCGAAATGTTACGGAGTTAATAAAGCAAATAGGTCTAATTAACAATTAGACCCGTGGCCCTTGAAGGCGAAGGGTCTAATTGTTTTAGTATCACTCAACCAGTCGGACAGAAAAAGCAATAATAAAGTTAGCCAATGCAAGTTGAAGAAATATTTATTTGGGAATAAAACGAAAGAAAGCGTCACGCTCGATTGCGCCAATTTCGCTACTCGAGGACTATTTACTAATAGTCCTCTAGTAGCGTAGCCAATTAAAATGCAGGATTTACATTAGCGCACTAGTTGGGTGATACTAACACTAAATAACAATGTTGTCGCAACTTACAAAGCGATCACTTCTTGTGCTAGTCAGCGGTTTTCCATACCGCCAGGCGCAGTAACTTTGGCGGTAAAGGTCGGGTTCGCGCAAATTTTGGCAGCTATTTTTTTTTTGTTTTTATTTCTTTCAGACGGGCGATTGCAGATTACCCCCAAAGGGTAACGTATCTCCATTTAAGAGTTCTTTTACGAACGAGCTGCTCAAAAATAGATACCACTGTTATTCAGTGAGAAGCAAACAAGTTGTAGGACGTAACCCAAACACGGTTTTGTTCTACAGACATGAAAACTCCACCACCGACGCCCTCGTTCCCTGAAAAAAGCAGATGGCAAAGAAACGAACCATAATTTAAAACAAACGCAAAGAGTAATTGTTTGGCTCAACGAAATTTCCGAAGATTTCAGAAGATATTCGCTGTTAAGGCTTTTCTCAAGGCTGGAAATTCTGGTAAAAAAAAAGGTTTACATAGAGGAACCAATGTGACTGCCACGATCAAGTTTTATCAACATGAAATGGTCGTCAATGCCACCTTGGAGGTGTAAGGGATCGTTGCACGAATCGAGACCTCATTTTCCTGTTGCAGCAACCAGATGCTTGCGAGGGCCACATTTAACCTTGAATGTTGAGCTGCATGTAAGCTGCCCACGCACATTCACTAGAAATGACGTTACGGCCAACGGAACTAAAAGGTGAACATCGTGTTGCTGTCGATTCTGTTAACTCTAATAATTTTTAAATTCAGATACATTCATCAAAAAACTAGGAAGTAATTCACTTTTTCACAGCACAAGAAGCAAACGGACGGGTGGCGAATGGTAACTGCGAGACTTTGCGAGACGGCGAGACAAGCATTTTCTCTGCGAGCCAGAGATATTTTGACTTTTTAGATTGCGAGACCGAGACATCAAAGTGTTTTGAGTGCGAGCGCGAAACGTTCAGACTCTTAAAATTCGAGTCCCAGATTTAGTTGAGAACTAGAATGAGCTTGTACAGCCTTTTATCCAGCTTCTTCGAAATGGCTGGAAATAGAAATTCGATTTTTCTGGCGCCAAAACGGACGTTGCAGTAGCTTTTGTAGCTTTTTGTGGAATTCAGACGATTTAGGAGAAGTAAGGATTAACTTTGCGTCACTGAAATTCAATATCAAGTGACGAGAAGACGTCCTTTATAAAAACAGATAAACGAATCGGAACTTCGAGACCCTTAGCTTTGCGGAAAATCGAGACTCCGAGACAGCTTCGTATAAAAATCGAGACTGCGAGACGCACGAGACCGCTAAAAAAACGAGACTGCGAGACCCGTGAAATTCGACTAAAATTTTGCGAGACCATGCAAGAGTTTTGGAGGGACCATTAGCCACCCCTAAACGTCATGAGTGACAGAAGTGAATATACAGTTCCCTTTGTTTCAAAAGCGCTGATTGCTCAGACGTGTTGATGAATCAAGTTTGCAGGTGATCCGTATTTTGTAGTTTGTTATTCAGAAATACAACGATCTATTTATACTAAGCAAGGCATCGGAGTAGTCCACACAAGTCCTTTTTTAAAGAAAAAGGCGGAAATCGGTAATTCTTGTTTGGATTCGATAGTTTACGAGTTTGCACCAGTACAGTTTTCTAAGGTAGCTGAAGTCGCAAGACAAAACTTTGCTCTACAATTGCAACTGAACACTCTTCACCGCGTGATAATTAACGCCGACAATGTTAGAAGCAAAACGGTAATTAGAGGAGTCTCTATTCACTACAGAGAAATTAAAAAACTCTTCAAAGTAGCAGAAGTGACTCCATAATGTCCGGTTAAAAGCGACAAGATAGTTTTTTTGTGTCTTTTCAACACGCTCAATTCAAGACGCGGTTGTAAGAATTTTCAAAAGAATACTGAGAGCGGAATATCAAGGTACTTTTCAAGGTACTTTTTTAACTCCATAAACGTAACTTACTCGGTTTAAAAAACACAAATACCTTTGCTTCGAGGGTTCAAAGACCATGAAGAACTAACCTCCACCGATTTATTCAAATTTAGGTCTAATTAAACCTTTGAAAAAACGCCTGCAAGAATAAAAGGTGGAAATGAAAAAAAAGTCTATTCTTTTATAGATTCGTCCAGCGATTATCCGGTGCATGTATTGAACTACTCAATCGTGTTTTGGTCTTGCTGCATTGTGAACAGATGAAGCTCTTTCAAAATATATTTGCCAACCATGAGTGAACAATTTTGATTCAAATAAACTTCTTTTTGAGCTGATAACGGATCAAAAGGGTGTTAGTTCATCTTTCGTCACATCCCATCTGGTCAGTGAATTTCAAGGAAACGAGCTTCCTTTGACGCACAGTATTTATTTCCATTTCGATATCAAAACATGAATTTTTAGCCCAATTAACTACAAAGCAGTCGTCGTTTGGTGGTAAACACTCGATATTTGGGTAATGTTAAGTCGTTCCTTGCCTGATGATAGTTTTTACGGTGCTCTTAGGTCTCAGCACATTACTGGGTTTCGTTGGAAATCTTCTCGTTTTACTCGTGGTTATTTTGTATCGCGACTTTCGACACATGCGCTACTTTCTGTTAGCCAGTTTGGCGCTTTCGGATTGGATTGTCGCAACACTGGTAGCAGGCAGCCGCACTATGGCCATCGCTGCAGAGAAATGGACCTTTGGTACCACTTGGTGCCATGGTGCTGCCTTCATCATCAGAGTACTTCACCACAGTACCTGTTTCCATCTGTGCGCTGTGTCGTATGAGCGGTACGACGCCATCGTTAGAAGGCCGCTCAACTACAGTAGCCGCATTACAAAGAAAAGAGCCTCTATCGTGGTCATACTGCTGTGGATTTTACCAGTCCTTATCTCTCTCGCCCCATTCCTCGGATGGGGAGGTTTCGTCTACAATCCGGACATTTTCACATGCGAGCAGAAGTGGGACGGCCAAACAGCAATTCCGATGTCAATAGTCACATTTCTTGTGCCAATTGGAGTGATCTTCATTCTAAACTACCAAGTGCTCAAAGTTGTCCATCGGCTTCAACGCAGTGCTGAAATAATCAATAAAGGCGTTTCCGAGCCCGAGAGCGACGGGCCGAATTCAAAAACGCAAGATTCTCGGAACCAACAGCAATGCTCCAGAGATCACGTGAATCCAAAGCAACACCATGGGCAAGAAAAACATCAAAATGGATCGCAAAAAGTGGTGACGACGTCTCCTCAGTTGCTAAGTGTGACTGTGCGTAACATGCTGTCAAGCCACAGAAACGAAGGTGAAGAAAACCCTGCATACCAGCCAGAACCTGATGACTACGCAAGTTATAAGAATGAGGTCGTTTGTGAGAGAAGAAATGTACGTGCAGCCAAATGTCTAACAGTGCGTCCTGTCGACACAAGAGAGGACGGCCCAAACCAGATTAACAATAATAAAGGAAAACGTGGTTACAAAGGGAAGAGGTTTCTTGTTCACCTGGAAAAACGATGCACTCTACCGCAAGAAGTGGAACAAGATCAAGAAGAGATGAAAGGTAAAATGGATAGCCAGATCCATCTAACTGAAGCCAATCATCAGAGACGGCACGCAACTCTTGAAGATGGTAGTGGTTCACCAAAGAGAGTTTGTGAGGCCCCAAGGCAGAAAGAAACAAAGGGGCAAAAGGGCTCCATCAAGCAACCATCTTCAGACGATATCACCGCAGAGAATAGCCATTATAATAAATTGGAAAATGCCAGTGGTACCAAGGGAGAGAGTTCATCTCGCGTGAATGATCAGAAGCAACATCCAGGAAGAAAACTGAAAATCATTCCACTCACAGCCTACGAACAAGCCCTTACTGAAGCACGAACATGTCGGATGAATTCCGGCAAAGAGAAGCACCTCATATCTTCCAGCTCTCATGGAACATCTCAGAATAACCTCTCAGAAAATCTTAAATATCAAATCGCCGAGAGCCTTGCTCCAGCTGCCACTTTACAGCTCAATGCAAGTCATGCACACAAACGGAGGAGACCTCCAGGAAGAACGCAAATGCGACTCTCCAAGTTGCTCATAGAAGGCAAGGCTGCTAGAGATGTCGTGATCATAATCAGTGCATTCGTTCTTTGTTACCTGCCATTGTGGATCATGGCGATGTATCGTGCCGCAGGAGGCACTGTTGCTGTAGAGGCGATCTTATCTACCCACTGGCTGTACTCTCTGAGCACGGTTTGCAATCCTATTATTTACTCCGTTCGTAAAAGGGAGTTCAGGAAAACACTCAGAAAAATGCTGAAACTGTAAAATCGCTGAACTCCCTTGACGTTCGATGTTAGTCCTTTCTTAAGCTTTGGAGTCTGAACTCCGTTCGCTACAGTTTGCCTTAAGTTTAATCAACTCTTAAGTTGTGATTTCTCTGTAGTTTAAAGTCGTTCAAAAGTACAAATGATTTCTATTCCAACTTCTGTAAATATTCAAGGCAGAATCGATATTCTGAAACGAAATGAAATTTTGAAGTTTCTAAAAGACTAGACGTTATTTCAAGAATAACTGACAATCGGCCAGTTCTGATGTGGCTATTTGATTCACTTGCTAAAGAAGAACTGCCCAGCTCAAATGCATTTGGACACAACAGACACAACATCTGCCGTTTCTGTCCAACTAACGAGTTTGGCAGTCACGCATTGAATTTTATACTTCTCTAATAGACTTTTTTTTAACAGTTTTGTTCCTGACAACACAAACAAAAAATTTCGATGAAGCTAAATATTTTAGAAATATGTTTCGTCTGCTTATGCTACTCAAAACCCTTTCGTGCTCTGATATCTACGTGTAATTAGTTCATTCAAAGTTAATATAATCTTTTTTTTCCTGGTGCTTTCAGTAAAATGTAAAATAAAATTCATATTATGAGCCTTGGGATTGTTTTATTTCAAAGCTATTTTTATGAATAGATATGTAAATAAAGTATTTACTCACGTAACAGCTGCGTGTAAGCTGCCTGGGATAATCAGTTGAGTAAAGCGCGACGAAAGTTTGGTGACCAGGTTTTGTTGTGTTGTTGTCACGGGCAACTGGCTCCTTTTCCAGTGGCGACTTGTCGGCCTTTGACGTCGTTGGCTGCAAAGCGCGCGAGATTACTGGAAACGACATTGTTACCATTGCAAACGAGGAAAGTAACCCGTGGCAACACCGTCATATTAAGTCCAAAACTTTGTCAGCAAAGCTCCGTCGCGCAATACTCAACTGATTATCGTAGTACCTTCAGAATCTTGGCATTTGCTGGGTCTGTAAACATTAGCTTTTCGTCAAAAGTGCTTGGGCAGGTTCTGTAAAAGACAAGAGAGTATACAATCATTGACATGTAGCAAGATAGCTCCTACAATACCTTGAGTGCTAATTGTGAGAATATGGATGTGCATCATGACACAATAAATTGGTCCCAGCTGATGTTTTCTCTATTCTCATAACCTGTCTAGTGACAATCCAAGGAGAAAGTACATGTTGATAAATTCTTACTTCGTGGTAGGTATAGTGATATATAATGTCATGTGGTGGGCACGGGAACAAGCAGTTGGTAATCACTCCATGGCATAAAAGCGGAACGGGTACTGAGGTGCTGACACAGTTAAGCCCCACCTTGTCTTAACCCTAGAACTACAACATACTTTGCATCCTTTTATGAAAGAAAAAACTCTCACTTTGACTTGGCTAGCAGAGCCTGAACAAGTTCCTGAATTTGTAGGTCATCTTCAAAATCTCCAGTGTAGAACTGCTCCTGCTCCCAGAACGGTGCCGCCTTTGTAATGGCTCTCAGCACCACAGTGTAGGCAAAGTAAAGATTCTTCAACCACGTTGGACCTGCCATCATTTTAAGGACCAAAAGAAATGTGTAAGATGAACTCTACAATAGCTCAAACTGATAGGACCTTACATGTACAGTACGGGGTCACTGAATACGAGCCAAGCACGGGTTACGTAGAATTTGACAAACTAAGCCAATAAAATTTCTAAATCCTACGATCCACGCAATAATCAGAAAGGTAAAAGAAAACAAAAAACAAAAACAAAACAAGAAAATAATGTAACCAACATATCCAGCAGAAGGTCTCAGACTACATGTAGATGCTTGTGATCCATTGGATCCCATTTTATCAATTGTGACTACATATTAAAAATCTCTTGAACGTGACTTTTTCAGTTACAGTCCAGCCTTCCTCTGGCACAAAACTACGTGCAATTTGGTTATCCATATGATTGTGCTAAAGACTGCAGCAGCGTCACTCACAGTAGATACTGACAAATTAATGTTTTCAGCAGGATGGCAACTGGTTTTCACACGTGGGCAAAACTGTAATTATTAAAACTGAACTTCTTTGTGAGAAAAACTTTCCGCTAGATGGCAAACCAGCCGGGCAAAATTCTCCTCATAGCTGGTCAATTTGCCCGGTACCCGGCCCTTAATGAAAAATCCCTGACATGCATATGAAAACATCATTTTATTTAAAAATACCTTCATCATTTGTGGTTTCAGGATCAAACCTTCTTCTGAACTCTTCAAAGTTCAAACCCCATCTTGGTTTCGTCAAACCATTACCTAACAAAACAGTTCTCTTCGTTCAATACCACTAAACAGAATGATTTTGACCTAGCTTACCCTTGGTACAAAGCAGTGGTGGGACAACAGTATGATACGTGTTACAAGGACGATTTTTATTTATGGCGAAGATCTCACTTATGGTAGTTCAAAAGGACAGAAATTAAATATATTACATTCTAATCCAAAAATACTTGAGCAAGAAAGCAGTTCATAATTTGTTGATCTTCTTTCAGGAAATTTAAAGAATGTCACAAAGACCTTATCTTGAGAGATTTAGCACTCGTCAGGCCTTAGTTCTTACCTTTAAAGAGGTACAGTGCCGACAGATGAATGTTGATGCTAGCATGGAGTCCGGACATCATGCGATAGAACACTCGCTTCTCAAGACACATTTCTAGAAAAGGAATCATCCACTTCTATTCAAATTACAGTGCTGTAAATATAACCGGGCAGCTGACAGAGCAGTCTGGCAGGCACATGTATTCCTTTGTAAATCGCCAGCGATAATATTTGCAGTTTTCACAAATTTTCCCTGACTAGAGGAAACTCTTAAACAACGTACGTATCTCTCTTATTGCTCTCTGATGGACTCGTATCTAGGCAGAAACCTACTTCTCAAACTCATTAATAATTCATCAAGCTTAAACAAAGGAAATCATGACCGTGACAGTGTTTGGATATCTGATCTTAATTAACATAGATTTTTT